TTTCCACTGAGTAGTATCCAATCTGTCTGGGTGGGGCTGATGAAAGGAGATGGGGATAGCACTCATGTGACACAACAGTGAATAATTGTTATCAGGACTGATTGTGAGGGTTGGAAATGTAAAGGTAGATGCATTGTAGCAAGGAGGGGAGTGATTAACTTTTCAGTCTACGAGCAGAGGTCCATGGGACCATCAAGGGAGAAGAGCAGAAAGCGGGACCCTACCCAGAGAAGCAATGACGCCAGAGATGGAGGCAGAGACAATGACGTGGAGAGATGGAGCAGCTGGGAACTTTACACCCAGAGAGGGAGAGGGGCTGTGTGCTGACGACCAGGGGCCAGGCTTGCAGGGTATACCCTTTGGTTGGTTGATGATGCATGGAGGGGATTGTAACCATGGCAATGAAACGATATACGATAGGATGAATGTAAAACTAATGTTCTCCCATGTAAACTATCACATAATTCACAATAAAACATTTTAAAAAAAAGAGCTTTTCCCATTCATTCTTATTGAAATACATTTTTCATACAATAAAATGTATAAAGGGGCTTCAAAAAGTTCATGAAAAAATTCCATTATCTTTTTATTTCATTTTCCCACAAACTTTTTGAAATCATCTTACTTATAGGAGTTTTGAGTGGCACAGCTACTAATTGAAAAGCTGGCAGTGTGAATCCACCCAAAGGTGTCTCAGAAGAAAGCCTTAGCGATCTACTTCCCAAAAATCACAGCTATTAAAATCCCTATAGAGCACAGTTCTACTCTGAAATACATGGGGTTGCCATGAGTCAGGGTCAACTGAACAGCAACTGGTTTGATTTTGTTGTTTTGGGGGGAAGAGGGGTTTCTTACAGGGGGAGGTGTTTAAATGTATCTATCATTAAGTATACCAATTTAATACACTTTGACGAAAATATATACACACACCTGTGGCTCCATTACTAACCTCACTTGTTTGTATTACCACAGATGATTTTTTTTTAAACAAAATGCTATAATCCATTACTAACTTTATTTTTTTTATAGTCAAATTTTTCCAAATTTGACTAGTAGAAATTGGTTCATGAATCCTTTTAACATTTCTTCTTTAGTTTGTGAGTACTTACTTTCTGGTGCATGAAGTTAATCTTCTTGCCATGCCTTAGACCTAGAGTAAGTCATTTCTCCAAGGAACTCTGATTTATTTTAGTGGAAAACACTACACTGAAACAAAGTGTGCTTGCTTCGACTGAGAATATCATTACTTTTAGACTTTTTAGAGGTCAGGCTAGTTTTGTTTTGTTAATGTATAATTTACTATCTTCCAGTTCACACTGATAATTCTGTTCTAGTCTAACACAGCTCTGGTAGCGTAGTGGTTACGAATCGGGCTGCGAACCTTAAGGTCAGCGGTTCGAAACTACCAGCCGCTCCGCGGGAGAAAGATGAGGCTTTCTACTCCCGTAAAGATTTACACCCTCGGAAACCCTGTACAGGGTCGCTATGGGTCAGAACCGACTCGACGGCACTTAACAACAACAACAACAGTCTAACCACAAGGTTCTCTCACCTCCTAACAACTTATTTTAATCTGCCCTCTCCCAGTGAGAATCCTGGTTCCCAGCAACATATTTACTCATTTGCTCCATTCTACAAAACACACAAAATAGTTTTAGAATTATTATACTAATAGCAGTGTCAACAACAAACCTACAAAATAAGATTCAAGATTCCTTTGTACCTTTTTTGTTTCTTAGAATACATTCTACTGAACGTGTACAGAGTACAGTCAGCCCTCAGTATTATCCACAGATTCAACCAACTGTGGATTGAAAACATTTTTTTAAAACAGCAATAAAAAAGTCAAAGCAATCCTTCAAAGGCTAAGAGAGAGCATAAAGTGTTATTTACATATCATTTGCTGTGTTAAGTAGTATATATGTAACCTAGATATGACTTAAAGAATACAGGAAGATGTATGTACGTTGTATGTAAATAGTACACCATTTTATAAAAGAAACTTGAGCATTCATGAATTTGATATTCACTGGGTTCCTGGAACCAATCTCCTGTGGATACCAAGGAACGACTGTGCTGTGTTAAAAGGTATTTTTAGTCTTCTTTTTAATATATACTTTCTCTCTAAAATAAATGATAAGAAATAATAAGAGGCTGACTGGCAATACAGTAATCAAAAAAATGAAAATAAAATAGGAGTCAAAAAAATTCTTAATTACAAATCCTGAAATGATTCTAGTTTCTATCAAATACCAACCAATCTTACTATAGGGACAATTACTTTAAGAACTCACACTAATATGTACTAGGGTTCTCATATGCCAATGAATTGCCATTAAATGCACAGTCTTTATCCAGGACACCTAGCTTTTTGATATCAAAGAACGTGAAAAGTCAAATTGTTAATCAGGAGGTTATTGAGTAACCACAAATTCAGAATAAGTGAAAAAGAAAGATGTACATAATAAAATCACATTGGCATAAGGAAATGGCATGAGGAAAAGATATTCCCCTGAGCTCTGGAAAAGGAAACTAAAGTACCACAAAGCTTGTTCCCCAAATGATACAACTCCTAACATCCCAAGATCAGTGTCCCTCAGTTTAGACAATACACTGATTTAGCTTCTCTGACTACTACTTTCAGTTAACATACCATTTCTTTAGATGTGTTAAAAATCAATTATCAAGATCCAATTAAATTGCTATTCCTGTCCACCCATTTGTTGATTTAAATGAACCTTTCAGGGTCCTCCCTGTCCCAGACTACAGACCTGTCTCCACCCAAAACCTTAAAATACAGCTCTTAAGACAAAATTAAAAAGAATCAGAAATTCAAAACAAACCCAAGATGAAACAGAAGACATGGCTGGCCACTACACAAGAGAGTAAGTAAAAAAGTACTGCTACAAAATCACAGACTTTTATTAAACAAAAATATGAAAATGTGACACTACTGCATCTTGACATAGCCTCCATGTAGGTATGTATACTTCTGAAGACAGTGTTTCCATCTGTCTACTCTACCCTTAGTAATCCTATGCTTTTAAATTTCTACCATTTCAAAACGGCAATGAGGAAGAGCTTTATTGGTGCCTGAACTAGCAACGAAGATGAGAGAAGTCAACAATATGTGGAAGTCATATTACTGAATCTGGTGGTGACTAGTTAAAGAAGGAAGAATGAAGAGTTGGGGACCTGGGTGAAGTATGACCCCCGGAAATGGGAACATGCGGGCAGGACAAGTTTTGGGGTAAGAATAATGAATTCAGTAACTGGACATGTTATATTATTGGGGTACAGAACAGGATATGGTGGGGGTAATATTTGAATCTTTGAATTTAGAGCTTAGGACATAAATCTATATAGAAAGATACCATACATTTGAGTATATAATATGAGAAATAAAGACCTAGACAGAGGATTAAGGAATACTCCCATTTAAGGACCAAAAACCAGGAGGAAAAGGTGAAAAGGAAAACCTTAAGGGCAGGCCCAGAGAGAGATAAAGAAAGTCAGGTTAACTGTGGTACCATAGAAGTCAAGGAGTGAGAAAATCAAGAGTGGAAAAAGTCAAAATGTCAGTACTAGGATAGAAAATGATTGTTGGTTCATTCACTTTTCTGAGGAGCCTCAATAAATATGTATTTCATAATTTTTTAAAAAATCAGAAATAAGAAGAGAGGGCATATGTACAGGAACATCCACATTTGCAGATAATACCCATTTGATCTGGCTTCAATTTGATGAATCTGACCTACACCTATGGATGGAGTAGCTCAAAAGAAAGAACAAATCTTTACAGCAAGGATCATTCCCACCCGCTTGGTACACAGGATACAAAGGAATGGGCAACTTGGACATTAGCTACCCAAAATGGGGGCTACAAAGGCAAGAAGTGACTGGCTTACAAGCTTTAAAGAGGGAGGCTAGATCCAGAGGGCACGGAGGAAGGTAGAATCTCCACTGAGTAGTATCCAATCTGTCTGGGCAGGGCTGATGAAAGGAGATGGGGATAGCATTCATGTGGTACAACAGTGAATAATTGCTATCAGGACTGACTGTCAGGGTTGGAAATGTATAAGTAGACGTTTTGTAGCAAAAGGAGGGGAGTGATTGATACGCAGTCTAGGAGCGGAGGTCCCTGGGACCACCAAGGGAGAAGAGCAGAGTGCAAGACCCTACCCAGAGAAACAGTGACACCAGAGATGGAGGCAGAGACAATGACGTGAAGCAGCTGGGGACTCTAGATCCAGAGAGGAAGAGGGGCTGTGTGCTGACAACCAGGGGGCAAGCTTGTAGGGTATACCCTTTGGTTGTCTGATGATGCATGGAGGGGATTGTAACCATGGCAATGAAACGATATACAATAGGATGAATGTAAAGCTAATGTTCACCTATGTAAACTACCACATAATTCACAATAAAACATTAAAAAAAAAAAATTATAGCCATGGGATGGGAGAATAAAAGATTCAGAAAAAAGAAAAGCAGACAAAAAAGAAATTAAAGCTTTCTTTCTCATGCATTAGAAAAATGGACTGTAAAACTATATGGACAGGTTCAGACACTAAGAAAATGATAGAGGAATGATGGATAGAAAATAAAACTACTCTTTCCTTCTCTCACCTGTGCTAACTATGAAAAAAAAGTACTCAAAACACATAAGCATATCTATGAAACTGCCTCTACAGTATTGAGTTACCCTCTGATTTGTCATTCCTTTCAAAAACAGCTCAAAATTACCAAAGAGCTTTCAACAAAGTCAATTTAGACTGAATTTCACAATTTTTTCCCTATTCACCTCACAAGCAAAAGTTGTCTCAAGTCTTAAATAATATGTGAGTGACCTGTCATAACAGGTACTCACCTCACAAGCAAAAGTTGTCTCAAGTCTTAAATAATAAGTGAGTGACCTGTCATAACAGGCTTCTCACATATTTCTGTTCTTCGTATTCAATAACTTTAGAGTCCTGCTACAAATGGCCCAATGAGATTGATACCTGAGACTTGACACGTCTTGTTCTCTTCGGTAGAATGTTCATTCTTGTGCCCGGCTCTGGGGGAGCTTGGTTATCAGTGGCAAGAACCTCAGGCTCCACTTTTTCCTTAAGATCTAAATTGGGCATTTGTACACCCTAAAAGAGCAGAGCACAGAAAGAGACCAGATTCACAATAAGAAATCAGGTTTCAGAATCTATGGGGAAACAATAAATTTCTAATAAATCCCTAAAAATGCATGAAACCAGATAGTACTTTTCCCCAAGTGGATCTATAGAATTAAGGCCATCAGTATCAAAATCCTAGCAGGCTTTATTCTGTTATTTTTGAAACTGAGAAGATGATCCTAAAACATATATGGAATTGCAAATTGCTTGAAAATAACCACAGCAATTTTGAAAAAGAAAAACAAAGTTGGACAATTTACACTACTGAGCATCAAAGTTTACTGTAAAGATACAGTAATCAAGTACAGTATTGGTATTCAGTTAAATATACAGATCAATGGAACAATACAGAATCCAGATACAAACCCACACAATTTATAGTCAACAACCAAGGTAAATCAATGGGAAAAGAATACTCTTTTCAACTAAACATGCTGATACAACTGGGTATGACTGTGCCTTCCTCCCCTGAAATAAATTTATACATTTACCTCATGGTGGTTACGAATCGGGCTGCAAACCACAAGGTCAGCAGTTCGAAACTACCAGCTGCTCCGCGGGAGAAAGATGAGGCTTTCTGCTCCCGTAAATACTTACAGCCTCAGAAACCCTATACAGGGTCGCTATGAGTTGGAACTGACTCCACGGCACACAGCCACCACCACCACACATAAAAGTTAAGGAGCTCTGGTAGCATAGTGGTTATGAATTGGGCTGCTAATCTCAGGGTCAGCAGTTTGAAACTACCAGCTGTTCCACAGGTGAAAGATGAGGTTTTCTGCTCCCATAAAGACCTGCAGCCTTGGAAACCCAGTATCGGGTTGCTATGAGTTGGAACAGACTCCACATCACATAACAATACATGAAAATTGGGAAGCCTGGTGGCTCTGTAGGATCTAAGCACAAAACTGCAAACTACAAGGCTAGCAGTTCAAGCCCACTAGCCGCTCCATGGGAGAAAGATGAGGGTTTCTGCTCTCACAAATATTTATAGCTTCAGAAACCTGATACAAGGTCGCTATGAGTCAGAATCGACTCAATGACACTTAACAACAATAACAATATACATAAAGTTAATTAAAAAGGATCATTAAATCAACCAAACTTGTTGCAGTCAAATTGATTCCAACTCAAAGTGACTATACAGGACAAGGTAGAAGTGTTTCATAGGGTTTCTAAAGAATAGTTGTAGTATTTACTGACGCAGACTGCCAAATCTTTCTCAGTAGAACTACTAGTGGATTTGAATGGCAGACTTTTTGGTGATCAGTTGAACACTTAGCCAATGCATCAACAGAGATCCAAAAACCCACTGCCATCAAGCTGATTATGACTCATACCAACACTACAGTAGAGAGTAGAGCCACCATAAGGTTTCCTAAGCTATAATTTTTATGGAAGCAGACTGTCACATATTTCTCCCATGGTGCAGCTGGTGAGTTCAAACCACAGACCTTTCAGTTAGCAGCCTATCACTTAACTAATATGCTACCAAGGCTCTTTAAAATGGATCACAAACTATAAGAGCTAAAATTGCAAGAGTTCACATGAAAACAAAGAAGAAAATGTTTTGTGTAGTTACAAAAAGATTTCGTAGATATGATACCAAAAACATATTAAATGGGCGAGGGGAGAGACCAATAATTTAAACCACATCAAAACTTAAATTCTTGCTATTCAAACAGACATTCATATGGAAAGTCAAATCAGATTAGGAGAAAATATTCAGAAATCATGTATTTGATAAAGAACCTGTACCAAAAATATAAAAAGAATTCCTACAGTTTAAGTATAAGAAGACAAGCAACCCCCACAAATTTTTTTTTTTAAGATTTAAATGGACACTTCAAAGAAGTGCTATTATGCTTATGAGAAGATGCAAAACATTAACCCAAACACACCCAAACCAGTTGCTGCTGAGTTGATGCCAACCCCATTTGTATCAGAGTGGAGCTGTGTTTCCTAAGGTTTCAGTGGCTGATTCTTCAGAAGATCACCAGGTCTTTCTTCTAAGGCATCTCTAGCTGTGCTCAACCTTTCAGTTGAAATTCAAGAGCGTTAACTCTCTGCACCACCCAGATACTCCACAATATTACTAGTCATTAGAAATATTCAAATTAATCATGATGCAAAACCACTAGAGACCTAAAAGGATGGTTATAATAAAAAAGACTGACATGTAAATGAACCTAGACTGAGTGAAATTAGATCACAAAAGGACAAACAGTCTGAGATCACAGTTGTAAAAAGTCAAGAAAAGGTTTCCATGCTCAAAGAAACACTTTGTGATGGCTACTACTGGCCAGAGGGTACGCATGTTAACGTAGGTGACAGGAAAGGCAATTTTTTAAAAAAAGAAGAAGAAATTTAATTAAATTAAACAAAAGAAAACTGACAAACCAGTTGTTGACAAGGATACTGAGAAACGGAAAGCCTCATATAATACTAATTGTTGTTGCTGTTAAGTGCTATTGAGTCGGTTCCAAGCCATAGCGACCCTATATAGGGTTTCCGAGGAGCGGCTGGTGAACTTCAACTGGCAACCTTGCAATTCAAACAGTTTTGATGTCTGGCGCATTAACCCACAGTGCCATACCAGGACTCCATACTAGCAGAAATGTAAAATGGTTCAATCACTTTGAAAAATAAATCTGGCATTTCTTAAACATAACCAAACAATTCCATTCTTAGGTATCTATCCAACAGAATCAAACAAAGTATATGTCCACAAAAAAATGTGCATATTTATGGCAGCCTTATTCCTAACAGCTAGAAACTGGAAACAAGCCACATGTTTATTCATCAACTGGTAAATGGATAAGCAAAATAGAGTACAGCTATACATATACTGGAGTGGAGTACTAGTTTGGAGCTGACAATAGCCACTAGACCACAAGTCTGCTCAAATCCACCAGCTGCTCCTCGGAAACCCTATAAAGGATCACCATGAGTTGGAACCAACTCAATGGCACCTAAAAGCCATAACAACATACAAGTAAAGCCAGGATATTCCTTAGAAGTGGAGATGGCGAAAACTTTGTCTCACGTACTTAGGACATGCTATTAGGAGTCCCTGGAGGGTGTTATGCTTGGTAAAGTGGAGTGTCAGAAGGAAAAAAAGGAAACCGCCCCCACAAGAAGATGGATTGACATAGTTACTGCAACAATGGCCTCGAATCTAGCAATAATCCTGAGAATGGTGTAGGACCAGATAGTGTTTTGTTGTGCTTTACACAGAGTCACTATGAGTTGGAATCAACTTAAAAGTACCTAAGAACTTGTACAATAGAATATTTTTGAACTATAAAAAGAATGAAGTACTGGTTCCTACTTGAAAATATTATGCTAAGAAGTCAAACACAAAATCATATTGCCTGATTATATGAAATCTCTAAGCAAGCAAAACTATAGAGACAAAAAGCAGATCAGGAAAAGCCTAGGTTTGGAGGCAATGGTAGGAATCAACTACAATATTGTTGTTGGTGTTGTTAGGTGCCATCAAGTCAGTACCAACTCACAGCAACCCAATGCACAACAGAACAAAACACTAGCTGGTCCTACATCAACCTCACAACCGTTGCCACACTTGATCCCATTGATGCTGCCACTGTGCCAATCTATCTTGTTGGGGGGTCTTCCTCTCTTTCTCTGACCCTCCACTTTACCAAGGATGATGACCTTCTCTCTAGGCACTGCTCGCTCCTGGTAATATGTCCAAAGTATAAGAGACAAAGTCTCACCATCCTAGTTTCCAAGGAGCACTCTGGCTGTACTTCTTCCAACACAAATCTGTTTGTTATTTTGGCAGTCCAAGGTACTTTCAATATTCTCCTCTAATACCACAATTTAAATGCATCAAAATTCTTCTACAGTCTTCCTTATTCACTGTCCAACTTTCACATGAATATGAGGTCATTGAAAATACCATGGCTTGGGTCAGGCACACCTCAGTCCTCAAACTGCTATCTTTGCTCTTAAATGGCATATTTGCCTAATGCAATATGTCACTTGATTGCTTGACAGTTGCTTCCAAGAGTGTTGATGGTTGATCAGGGCAAAATGAAGTCTTTGACACCTTTATCTTTACTCCATTTATCTTGTTGTTATTTATTAGTTGAGTGGTGAGGATTACATTGAGGTGCAACCCACACCGAAGGCCGTGGTCTCTGATCTTCCTCAGTATTTTGAGTCCTCTTCACTTTCAGTAAGCAAGTTTGTATCATCTGCATATTGCAGGTTGTAATGAGTTTTCCTCCAATCTGATGCTACATTCTTCCTTCATATAATCCAGTTTCTTGGATTATGTTCTCAGCATACAAACTGAATAAATTTGGTGAAAGAATGGAATCCTGGCACACACCTTTCCTAATTTTAAACCATTCAGCGTTCCCTTGTTCTGTTTGAATAACTGTCTCTTGGTCTATGTACGGGTTCCTCATGAACACAATTAAGTGTTCCAGAATGCTCATTCTCTGCAATGTTGTCCATAAATTGTCATGATCTACACAATCAAAAATCTTTTATAGTCAATAAACCACAGGTAAACATCTTTCTAGTATTCTCTGCTTTCAGCCAAGATCCGTCAGACATCAGCAATGATATCCCTCATTCCACGTCCTCGTCTGAATCCAGCTTAAACCTCTGGCAGTTCTCTGTCAATGTACTTCTGCAGCTGTGTTTTAATTATCTGTAGCAAAATTTGGAGTCCTGGTGTGGTGCTGAGGGTTAATGTGCTAAACTGCAAAGTCACTATGAACTACAAAGTTGGTAATTCAAGCTCACAAGTCACTCCTTGGAAACCTTCTACAGGGTTGCTATGGGTTAAAACCAACTAGACGGCAGTTAACAACAACAACAGAAGCAGCAGTATTAATGATGTTATCTGATGATTTCTGCATTTCATTGGGTCACTTCTCTTTGGAATGGGCATAAATATCAGCTTCCAATCAGCTCTTCCAATCAGCTGGCCAGGTAGCAGTCTTCCAAATTTCATGGCATCGATGAGTGCTTCTAGTGTTGTATAGTTTGTTGAAAGATTTCAATCTGTATCCCATCAATTCCGGAGTTTTTTTCTTTACCAATGCCTCCTTGGACATCTTCCTTCAGTATCATTGGCTCTTGGTCATATACTACCTCTTCAAATGGTTGAACATCAACCATTTCTTTTTGGTACCCAAAAAGACTCTATTCCTTCCATCTTCTTTTGATGCTTTCTGCATCATTTAATATTTTGCCCATGTTGTTGTTTAGTTGTGTCGAGTCAGTTTTGACCCATAGTGGCTGGTGAGCTTGAACCACCAACCTAGCGGTTCAAATCTACTTTGCAGTCAAGTGCATTAACCTGCAGTGCCACACAAGGATTTCATTTTGCCCACAGAATCCTTGAATATTATTTCCTCAGTTCTTTCCGTGTGAGAAATGCTGACCCTGTTCTTCCCTTTTGGTTTTCTAAATGTAGGTCTTTGCACATTTTGTTATATTTGACTTTGTCTTCTCCAGCTGCCCTTGGATAATGAGCACAAGAGAACTTCTGAGACTGAAAGTGTTTTAAAACCAGATTACTGTAGCATTAGTTGCATTGTTGTTAGTTAATACTAAGTTGATTCCAATGTATGGTGACCCCATGTGTGCAGAGAGTTTTCAAAACTGTGATCTTTCAGACGCACATCTCCAAGCCTGTCTTCGAAGGTGCCTCTGGGTAGCTTCAAACTGCCAGGATCTTCTGGCTAGTAATCAAGAGCTTAACAACCATTTGCACGACACAGGGACTCCAACTGTTGCTTAACTGTAGACATTTATTAAAGTTTATTGACCTATGTATCTATAGTAGGTGAATTCTACAGGAAATTAGTCATTCCTTCACAGAGCTGTCTTAAAAAAAAAAATAATGAAGAACTTTTTCAAAAATCTAAATCATGAAGAAGCATTTAAAATAAATAACAAAATACCCTTCCTTCAAATTATTCTTATCTTATAAGCCACTGAAACACAGCAATGATACATACATTGCTCCCAAAATTTTGGTGCTTAGAGAAATCAATTCTACCTTGCTTTGCATAGGGAACTGCTAAAGTGTTACGTTACGTGTTTATAACTGGAAAACTGGATTTATCCACTCCTAACAAGAACAATGTTTCTCACCATAAGGCTGACACCAGATTGGAAAAGTTCATATGGGTAGAGAATTCTTTCATAGTGTGACTTCAAAAGAGACCCAGTTCCTTTTCCTGGTAAATATCCCAAGCGACTACCCACTTTGGACCATTTCTTCTCTTTGGTGACCATTTCAAAACCTCCTTTGCTGGCAACAATCTGGAAAAAAATAAATAAATAAAATAATTTATTATATATATAAAATATACATTGTATGCTAATTTAAATTTATTCGGGCCTTAGGTTTCCAAATTCCTTCCAACAAATAATTGGATAAAAAATTGTCAACATTTAAACTAAAAAACATAGTAATGATTATGTGAGGTCTTAAACACTATCATCTAATTAATTTCATTGGGCCTACCTTGAAATCAAGAATTCAAAAACATTTAATGAATCTGTACTTTGTAAAATATTCTCTGTGAGAATATTGAACACACATATACACTCTATGTATATAACATGCTATGTCTGACAGAGTAAAAAACAGACAAAATAAATATGAGAACAAATTCAAGTTATATAGTTAAAAATGTACAGAAACCCTGAAATTACAAAGTGCACAAAATAACATTTTAACAAAATTTAAAGCCAACAGTGAATTTAAGAACAGTTTTGAATAAGAGGTTATAATTTTTCAAAAGGAAAATCTTTATATTAAAAATTATGAAGGATGATGGAAAAAGATCATATTATATGTAGGATGCATTACTTGATTTCCCCGAACATAACATAAAATACAGACATAAATTATTCAACTTAGTGAAGAGATCACATCAAGCCAGGCACAAAATAGAATATAAGTGTATCCAACAATAACAAATAGCACAGGAAAGTCTCATTATAAAGGAGAGATTGGAGCAGACTTAAAGGATGGATGTAGAAGAAGTTAACCAAGCAGCTATACTTGGCAATCAATACTGCTACATGTAGAGGGAACAGCTGGACAAAGGCCCCAAATTAGAAGCAAGCCTAGAGCATGTGAAAAATAACAAGAAAGTCTGTAACAGAAGCAGAGTGAACAAAAGGGAATCAGGAACAGAACAAACAAGATGGTGGATCGGGTGGAAATGCAGTAAAGAGTTCTGCCAGCAACAACACAGAATACCTGAACAAGCAGGCTCAGGGGATGGTCCGAGAACTCTGAACCACGTATAAAGGAATATTTAGAAGGTTGGAAGGCTTACAGCTGGGAAATTTGTGGCAAAAGCAAGAAATCCATTGCTTTCTAGTCCAGGAAGCTCAGCTGCTCCAGGAGCCGCCATCTTGGGTAAGACCAAGCGGGGGAAGGATCGGAGCAACCACAGATGGCTGGCAGAACCACAAAGATAAAAGTGTGGACATTCTTTTCTTTTGGTAGCTGTTCATTGGTCCCTTGCTGTCTGCGCACCTCCATTCTGGTGCTGAGCTAGTAGACAGTAGGGGTGCCTGAGCGAGTAGACACCCCAGCCCCACTCTCAGAGGATTCAACTAAACATGCGCACAGATCTCCTAGAAATTTAAAGAGACAGTTTCCAATTAAACTCAAATGGCCACAGCCGGCCCTGAACTGTTTACAACTAGAAAAAAAACACCTGAACGGGGATTGTGGAGTACGACATGCAGACAAAAAAGGAAATAAGCCGAAATTAAATCCTAAATTATGTCAAAATGACCAACAGCGGCATCTTAAAAGAAGTAGTGTAAAAAGGGAAGACCATTTCCTGATCACATCTACCTGGAGGCAATCAGAAAGCATACAAAATACATACCCATCTAAGTATTAAGGCCACAGACAACCCCTGAATATGCCCAAAAAACAGAAGCAGATGACCATATCTGCACATGTCCAGAAACAAGATAAAGTGAATGAGGCAAATGAGCTGGAAGTAGCCCTACACTCCATACTGGAAGATGGGCAGGCTTTGGAAATGGAGAAGGAATTCAGAAAAATTATTATAAAAGGTATCAAAACACTATGCAATGCAGTTAAGAAAAATAATGAAGTCAGGAAAGTGCTACAGGAACAATCAAATAAGATAGATACAGCATTGGAAACAATTCAAAACCTACATAAAGAGATCCAAATAATCAATAATAGAATATCAGAAATGGACAATACACTGAAAGGGCAAAGGAGTAGAAGTGAAGAGACAGAAGCCAGAACTAGTGAGCTAGAAGATAAATCGCTTAACAGTACTAAGATAGAAGAACAAATACAAAAAAGGATAAAAAAATCTGAAGAAGGCCTAAAATTCATGTTGGATAACATGAAAAAGAATAACATAGGAATTACTGGCATTCCAGAATAGGAACAATCACACGAGTCCACAGAGGAGATAGTTAAAGAGCTTCTGGAAGAAAATTTTCCTAACATCATGAAAAGTGAAAAGATAGCATTCATGAAGCCCAACGAACCCCAGGATGGATAGACCCTAAAAGACAATCACCAAG